GTTATCTACTAGAAGTCATGCACTGCTGAACCTCAGGCAGAGCCAGGCAAGGAGTGTAAAGTTGAAAATAATCTACGGCTGGAAAAGGTGGCTCCAGCTGGAATGTCTGCTTTGGAATGTTGTGCCCCTCCTGTCTGCCACACCCACTCCGGCTAGCTGGGGGCAGAGGATGAAGTTACCTAGGCTACACAATCCCACCTTGGGCATGTCACGAACTTCTGAGAATTCCCACTGCTTGGTGGGTACCAGTTTTCCCCACAGTTTGATGGACACTTAAGACCACTGGTAATTAAAATTCTATCTTCAACTGCTCAATATTCATCTCACTCTGCATTGTAGAAACTTTGGGCTGAAAGATGCACTAGTTAAAATAGTGGCTTTTTTGTTTTTTTTTTAAAAAAATTTGTGGGTCTGAGACCTTTGAGAATAGTATGAAAGCTTTAGCCCTCTGGAAAACACACATACGGACACATAGACTAGATTCTGACAGTGTTAGGGGTTTCATGGACCCTCAAGCCCAATAAATGGACCCTCTGGGGTGATGGACCCCAAGTTATGAGCCCTGAGTTAAAGGTTCCTGCGGGTAAGCATTTGCTTTCAGGTGCAAATAACCCAGAGGAATTATTAATCTCCCTCCCAAGTGATTATTGGCTGGTTGGGGTGTGGGAGCCTGGGAGTAATGGTTTTGAAGGAAAGGGAAGGAAACCTGGATGGTGCAGCCCCGGGGAAAGTTTGGGGATGGTTTGGAGATACAGCAGGCAGCACTGGATCGCTGATGGAGGGGATGGAAAGGGAGGTGAATGTCCGAAAGACAACCCACACTTTCACATCTTCTCAAAGGCTGGGCGCAAGGTTCCTGATCTGAACGGGACTCTAAAGTAGGTGGGTGCATCTCTTCTGCCACCGGGTGGTCATTTTTGGAATTGCATCTGCCCCACCAGGCGAAACAGTGTTCTGAAAACTCCTTGGAATAAACTACACTTGGCTGACCTGCTGGGGCAGAGTGAGAAGGGCAGGGCAGGGGAATGGGAGAGAAAGAAGAGAGATATGTCAGTCTTCTGGACGTGCATACCGAAGTCCATGCGAGCTTGCATCCTCCTTGGCTGACCTGGGCACTCTTTGGTTTGTCATGGCTTAAACTTGCTTTAACAGCTTAGAATATTTCCATGTAAGTTTTTTCTTCTTTGTTTGTGTTGCTTTGCACTTAAAACCTGAAAGTTCCATCTTTGGCTCCCAACTGGGTCTCTCTGCTCCTTGCTTCTCCTCTTCCAGAGCAGACTGATTGATTGTTGATTGGGAGTCAAAACGTGTCCCTGGGAAAAACAGTGACTTGAGGTTTCATCTTCCATTCTTTCCATTCCAGCTAAGACACTTCCCAGACTGCTGGAACCCTTATCTAACAGGAAACCAGTCACTGATGGCTTTCTGTACTATAACGTCACATGCCAGTGCGGCTGGCTCGCTCTGCCCTAAAGTTCTGGAGGAATTCGTGGTGTATCTCCTGAGCTAAGCTTCACGCCTACTCCGGCCTCCTTGGTGCCTGGCTGTTGGTGCAACCTGAGCTCAGCTAAGCATGAACTGTGGCATCAGTGTGGAACAAGATGGGCACTAGGTCCCAGAGCGGCATTGTTAGCTTGGAGTCATTTCTCCTCCAGTCCCAGACTGTCCTGTGGACAAGACCCTTTCTAGCATGGAGGTTCCTCCTTCCCATAATGGCCATGGCAAGGCTCTGAGTCAAACTGGAGGCAATGAGGGGAAATCTGCCCGTCTGACAGCTAGGGGTGAAGATGTGGTAAGGAAGGCAGAGTGCTCTGTCACCTGTGGGAGGCCTTGGGGGGAAGCAGGTGATGGGAGGGTGGGTCCTCCCCCAAAGCTCTGGATCTCACACAGCCAACTAACACTGGTCATGTGATCAGAGGCGTTAAGTTGGAGTTCTCCTCAGAGGCTTTCTCTCCATCGGGTGACCTCTTCCTTTTTCGACCACCTGAAACACAGTTTATAAGGATTGATTTACAAGACTGACAGACAGCATGTCCCCTCGCTGCTGGTCCACGAGCTCTTTGAAAGAGGAGGAGCCAGCAGACAAAGCCCCGGACAGACTAGAAGGAAGCCATTCGCTGCTGGAATCGGTGTATTTACATCGGAAGGATTAGGGTACACCTTCTTCCCGAGAGGTCATCTCCACCACAGCCCCCGGCTAGTGCCAGGGAGTGAGCTTTCCTGGAGAGGACCTGGTAAAGGCCATGACTGTGTCATGCCCGCCCTGCCCCCTGGCGGCCTCACCCAAGTGACTACCCACGGCCTTTGCTGTCGGGAGCCGGGGAGCTGTTCCCAGAACGGCCACATGCCAGCTGTGCACCGAGCAGGTGGGGGCAATTCCATAATTGTCCTCCAGGATGGAAGGGCACTCTGTTCCCAGGTCTTGTTTTTAGAGACCATGAGTATTTTTAACTGTGTTTTCTCTGTCACTGACTTCCTTCCATGGAGGATACTGCTTTCCTTTCTTAGCGTCTCCTGGACATAAATTCTTTCTTTAAAGGACCAGATGGTAAATGTTACAGATTTTGCAGGCCACAGAATCCCTGCTGCAGCGGCTCAGCTCTGCCATTGTGGTCACGGATAACAAATGATGCAGCCGATCTTGTTTCCAGGAAGGGGGTGGGGAAGGGGGTGGCTTGTGGGCTTGGTTGGCGGATTCCTGTCCTAGAAGGCTCCCCGAGGCTGACCCCGAAACTACTGAGGATGTGGGACAAGCCCCAGTGCCAGTACGGGTTCCCACGGGTATCTTATTAGTCCCTCAAAGAGCTAGTGGTTCTTCCTCCGGGGTGGGACCTGAACACGCTTTCTGTCCTAACCAGCTGGTGGGTTGCTTTTGTCTGGTAAACAGCTACTCACTCAAGGTTCTCAGCAGCTTCTTGCCCACGGTTTCCTCAAAGTCGCTACTGCAGGGACTGGTCTCTGTGTCCAGGTTGATGTGACAACATTCACTGTCTGAGGCTGAGAGACAGGAAAGAAGAAAGGACTTAACTTGAACACCCAGGGGTCAAGGTAGGGTGGTTCTAGTTGATGCTCCTCAGCAGGTGAAAGTCCCCAGCAGGTGGGAGAGCAGCAGTAGGTACAAGGGCGGCTGCCCCAGCTTCTGCGGCTCTAAGAGTCAACAAGGGTCAAGTTAGTGCCACAAATGGACAGACAGGACAGGAGCAGGAATCCAACAAGTTAAGCACTGGCAGGAGTGAAGAGAACAAGATGTCCTCCACTGAGTTTCTGCCAGGAAAGAAGCACACTTGAAGGCAAGTGGGAACGTCTCCGCACCGTGCTTGCACAGACTCTGCAAACTCACAGGGCTCCTGACACTGCCCGGCATACTGTCGCCCTGGGAAGACCAATTTCAGATGTGCCTGACTCATGGAGGCTACTCGGGGAGTGTCAGTGTCTTTCCCTGTTGTGTAAGGAGGTGGGAAGAGTCACAAGGGACTGGGGTGCTAGGGCCCCACTCCGGGCTCCCCCTGGGCTATCACAGTGCCCCATGGAGATGACCTTCCTTGCTCTTCTGGAGAATCCCCTCCCCCACCCCTCAGGGAACAGCCCCCACCTGCTCTCGTGGGCACAGTGGTGGGAGACAGCGAGAGCTGCTGCGTGTCCTGCTCCTCGAAGTCCGTCATCTCCTCCTGGGTGAAGGCCATCTCCTCCATCCGCAGGTACACGACCTCGCCAGGGCTTCTCAGTCCGTCTGAGCGGCTGCCTGGGGAGGACAGTGAGTGCGCTACCTTTCTGCTTTGGAGAAGACCCAGAGGTTGCCCTGGGCAGGGCTGAGGAAGCAGGGCTGCCTTCACGGGGAGGCGGCCTGACTTACACGGCAGGCTGTTCCTGTTGCTCAGGAGGGCAATGACAGGGTCGTCCTTGGGGGTCTGGGGTGTGCCCCGGATTGTGGGGGGCTTGGTGGAGTCTCCGTCAGTGAAGGCCTCCATGTCAGGGGACTGGGGTGAGCTGTCCATGTGGCAAGCAGTGAGTGCATTCTGGTACTGTTGCCGCGTGATCTGGAAGAGACAGAGGGGGCAGAAGCTTGGGGGAGCTGGGTGGAGCCCAACCCGGAGTGGCCAGACTTCCCAAGCTCAGAAGCAGGATGCAGTGGGGATCCCTGGCCTCAAGAGTCCAGGACCCATAACTGAGGGCCTGACCTGAGCTATACTAGCCTGGCAGTTGGGGAGCAAAGAGGGCCCTTGGCTGGTTTGACACCAACATTCCTAAGATCATTGGCTCTGGACTCTCAGGGTTTACCGGGAGGAGCCAACCCTTCTCCTGGAACCCAGGAAGGACGGAGGGCACCTTCAGTTAGTCTACAGGGTCCTCTCCCTGTGGGGTCAGTCAGCGGGGACGCTGTGACAGAGCAGGCTGACACTCTGGAAGCTGACAGCCTGAGCGCCTCACAGTCAGGCTGGACATCCCTGATGTGGGGGTCACGCTCCTGTGTGTCCCCACACGAGCCGTCAGCTGTCTCCTCTGGCCACGAGTCACACTAGAAGTGACGGGGCCCAGGTATCAAACTTCCCGGGAAGGGAAGGCGCCTGGAGAGTTAGACTCAGCCAGACTCGTCAGTCATTCCGGCAGGAAGGTTTCTCCATCACCTGTTCTTGGGGGTAAGTCACAGACTGGTGCTTCAAAACCTTGCTTCAGATGAAAACAGGCTCTTTTTTTATGCCCTTCAGCAAGGGAATGTGACATCTGAATCACTGATGTGTGATGGCAAGACTAGGTCTTGGGAAAGCAAAGCCTTGATTCAGGAAATAACACAGAAGAGAAAGCAGAGGGAGAGAGGACGTTCTGGATAGGGACAATGGGAAAAGGAAGCCAAAGAAGAGATACTGAGTCAAGCGAGAGGAGGGAGGGAAAAGAGGCCCTTTCAGGGTTGACTCTGAAATGGATTTCTGGGCTCAGGGCCCCGTCAGTGGCCACTGGCTGTGAGCCCCAGGCTAAAAGTCTCTCTGGAGTATTGCCAAGTGCTCTATTTTATCCAACTCATTTATTTTTGGAAAGTTCGCCCGGGGTTGTACCTGCAGGGAGCTTTGCCACGCTCTTTTGTTCTGAAGAAGCTGTGGTCTGCCCTTCCTGCAGCTGGAACCGCGGCTGGGAGCGCCAGCCCTGTCTGCGCAGGGTTGTGAAGGATGAGCTGGGACTAAGATTCTGCTCTGGCCACAGTGGGAGCCACCACACTCCGTCTCCTAAGGACCTGAGTCCCCCGTTACCGTCACCTGAGGCATTCACAGATGTTAGCTAACCACCTTGTCAGTGACCTTCATGAGGAGATTCAGGCAGTTCCAGCCCCGGTGAGACTTGAGTGGGAAGAAGGAAGGCACAGTGTGAGTGGGGGTGTGGGTTGGGGGAGGGGTGCCAAGCCAGGCCAGGATTGGGGGCAACACTGGCTGAGGGCCTGGCCTGCGGTGGGTGCTGTGTACAAGGTGTGGACAAGGCGGTGTGTGCTCGGTCATTACTGTCTCTGCGTGTCTCTCAGCCCTGCTTTCACATTGCTACCTTCTAAAAATTATTTTAAAAAATTACAATAAACTACTGTTATGTCAATGTGTTGACGTAAAGGAATTGGTGACAAGGTACCCATCTGGAAGTGACTTCAGAGGAGCAAGCTGGCCCAGCTGCTGGATTACAGTCAAGCCTCACTTGTGTGGATTCCCTTCTCTGCTCAACAACACAAGGGACCTTCTTCCTACCTTGCACAGTACATACCAGAAAAATGCAGCAGAAATGGAATGTGAGTCAGGTAGGCAATTGAAAACCCTCTAGTGGTCATATTTTAAAAACATAAAAACAAGTGAAATGAATTTTAACAATCAAGTTCATTTCAGCCAACACAGCCCAGATGATTCCACTTGAACCTGCTATCAACCATTAAAAATTATTAATGAGGAATTTTATATTTCTTTTTGTGCTGTGAAATCCAATAGGCGGCTTGCATTTACACTGCACCAATTTGGACAAAGCCACATGTCATGTGCTTAACATGTGGCTAGTGGCTACTGTATTGATAGAGCAGATCTACAGATGAACCTAAACTCGCCCCCCAGTTTTGATAATTCGGCCTTGGCAGTGTTCCACAGTCCCCACTGCTCACCAGCACACAGCCTCCAGTCCTGCTCATGCGTCTTTGCTTCCCACACCCTGCTGATCAGGGTGTCCCTTCACCACACTGCCTTAACTTTACTCTTACTCTTTCCTAATTCTTAAAGCTCCAGTACATGCTCTAGCCAGTATAATTTTAAGCCGGTGCTTAAAATGAATCCATACAATATTGTAATCAATTAGATACTGCCCTGAACTGGTCACTATCATTTAACTAAAGCTCTTCACGAGGCAGAGGACACATGAGGGATGTCTTCAGTGTAGCTCCTGGTGCCTAAAACCATTGCTAATGCTCAGCACACACTTATCGATTGGCTCAGGGCAGACAGTCATTTCTTAGCGACAGCTTGCATTCAGATGGTCTTTCTTCTCTTACACTTTGGCCAGGTAAGAACTCATGCATCTTCTGAATTACAGAGGAAAACGAGGTCTGATTATCTTGAAAATGACCAGAGGTAAGGGGACTCTTTTGCACATTTTGTCTTTGTATTGGATATGTCCAAAGATAACCTTTCTGCCACTGTGATGTCTCTTCTCATTTTAAGATGTTTATCCCCAAAACACAAACCTGCATTTTTGGGATTTCACCTACTATTGGACATGGTTATGCAACCCAGACTATCAGACTTCCAGCAGGTACTCTTAATTTAATAATGATATCTATAAAGTACATTTCAAAAAGCATTCATAAGGATTATGTGACACTTCATAACGTATTAACTACTATTAGTCATGGTTTTACTATCTCTCACAGATAATCATTAAACACACTATTTTACCTAATTGTGTAATGTCTCGAAGTCATGTTACTTCTGGACTTAAATAGTTCTGGAACTTTAGTCTTTTGGACATGAAAAACCCTTGCAAAATTTTCCTGCAGCCACTCATAGGTGTTTCCGCCATGAAAACACCCCCATTACACAATCTTCTCTTTAGTTTCATCCAAAACTTTCTTCATGTTAAAAGGGGTTTGGGGACAGGTGGGGAAGGTGAATAAAAGAGCAGCCCTTGACAAGATGGCTTAACAGTCTTTCCAGTCAAAGAGGGAATTTTCATCTTTGGTCTAAGGCACCATCTTTACTTATATTAAAAAAGAAAGAAAGAAAAAGAAAGAACCAAAATCAAATCACTATTAAAACAGGAATTCGAACCTATAAAGTATCCTTCTATAGAACTACTCATTACAGTGAAAGTTCTTCAGACACTAGAGTCACAAAATTAAAGAAGTTTTTGAATAACAAATGGGTTCCTGCCTTCCCCATAACTTCTACTGTGACACTCAGTCTTCTCGATTTCATAATCTCTGGGTGAACAAGAGGACCATGTTCTGTTCTGTCCCAGTTACATCAAGGTCCTCTGGCCTGAGCAAAGGGACATCACTTGGGACCTGCCCTCAGATTTCAGGGTTCTCCATGGAACAAAATGTCTCTCCTCTGTGCCTTGCTTTCATAGAATGTTCCCTTTCCCTGTGTTCTAGGATCATCTGTAAGTTTTAAGAAAGTCCTGACAGTGCATCACCAGGTATTCCTCTTAACACATTTCTCCTTGGGGAGTTGCCAAACCCATCTCCTGAAAATGTGCTCCAACTTTTGCATTTATGGTTCCGAAAATTCTGGGCTCCCTACACTTGTTCATTAAACATGATCCTCAAAAGCTTGTTCATGTTTAGTTCCTCAAGTCACTTGCCCAGGCTGCTTCAGTTCTGATTTCCCACAACTCTCCCTAAAGCCGGGGGACTTTCGGGGTTGGCCTCTGGAGACAGAGACTCAACCTGGGAACTTGGCTTTGCCACGTATTAGCCATGTGAGCTCAAGTCTCAACTTCTTTATCCATAAATGGGAGTCACAGCTGTGACCCACAGAGGGTGGCTGTGAGGCTAAGCTGCCGGCTCAGACTGAAGAGGGAAGCACATTGCACAAAGCACCCCTCAAACAGGTACCTGCCCAGCGACCCCCCAGGCACCCTTTGGAGAACGCTCCATGGTGACATTTGTCAGCTGATGTCAGTTTTAGCTCAGGGTGTCTAAGTTTTGGAAGAGAGAGAGAGAGAGCCAGCCCAGATAATTAGGGCGTGTGTTCTGGACGAAGGAAAACCCTGCTCCATCTTCTGGATTTCAAGGTCATTGGTCACCCTGTCTGCAGTTGCCATAGGTCACCAGGTACACTACACTTGGCTAAGTGGAGGTCTCCCCTGACCTCAGGCTCGAGTACATAAGGTTTGTGCAATGCTAGCAAAGACGGGATAAATAAAAACTAGAGCAAACCAAACACGTTGTCAAATGAAAACAAAGGACACCTTAAAAGCTCTCTGTGTGAGGCTGGGCTCAGTGAGGAGGATGAAGAAGAAGCTCTTTAGTGACAGGTGAAGGGCTTGGCTGTCTCTCTTCAAACAGCTCGGTCATGTCCAGGGAATACAGCGGCATGACAAATGCTTCTCAACCAGCGCACTGGCTGAATGGCTTCAGGCTTTACCCCTTAAGGTGTGCAAATATACTACCATCGGCAGAGTCCGGTAGGGTTTCTTCTACACCTTTGCAATTCTACCTTGGGAACAAAGAACAAGTCCACCTGGTGCCAATGGTAGAGACTCCAAAGGACACGGTTCTTCTCGGCCACGTGGCTCAGGCCAGCTAACTCCCTATGGCTTTGTGGTTTAGCTTCCCCCCTTGAGAAGCCAGACTCAGAGCAGGACAAGCAGTGGACAGTGGCACAGTGCGCGCATCAGCGGCTCCCAGTCGGGGTCCCCCGCCCAGCACACGGTAGGGCCCTTCCTGTTACCTTCACAAATTGCACGTCGCTGAGGATGTGCACCGAGTAGTCAGGCGTGTAGAGGTTGTTGCTGCTGCTGCACAGCTGGGTGTTGCTCCCCCCAAAGTCACTGCGCTCCCGGTTCGGGGACTCTGAGCGGTTCAAGCCGCTGCAGCGAGAAGGGGACCGGTTTACTGCAAGTGGTGAGGGGAGGGAGAAGGAGTCAGAGAGGGTGGGGAGAGAGGAGGAGAGAAGAGGCTGTTTACTGAGGACCCTTGGAGGGACAGGCTTCTACCCCCCCCCAAGGGCCAGTCCAGTGCTCCCGGCTGAGGTTGGGGTGCTCATGCTGGAGACTGGAATGGGGGTCCCTCTTGCACAGGTTCCTGCTCCTTGGCCTCCCTGCCAGCGAGAGCTGGGCAGAGTGGCCCATGGCCTCTGGGTCCTGCTCTTGGGCTAAGAGCAGGCGATGAGCGTGGACTGTGAGCCTGGCTTGCGGCCCAGGTCCTCCATGAATGGAATTTTACATAAAACTCTACTCACACACCTTTTGGAAAGGCCAAGTCCTTAGGTTTGCCTGCACAAACTCTGTCACAGCCCAGACAACCAGTCTCACTGTGACGAGGCCCGTGAGTGGGAATAACTCAGGCCTGCCCCAAGGTCAGTGGGCCAGACAAGAATATCAAAGAACCTCACAAACCCCATGGAGAAATACTGAATCTTGCTAACAGACTGTAAAAGTCGGTTCCAATTTTGTTCTTGACCAGAACCTGGAAGACCAGTCAGTCTGACTCCCTAGTTTTGTGCAGGAAACAGGGTTGTGGGGAGAACCAGGCTCTGGCCTGAAGCTGCCTCTCCCAGGGCTGGTGGGGGTGGGGGGAGGAATTCCTGAGATTGGAAATGGGGTTCAGAAGGAGAAACACAGGCTCTGCATGGGCACATTTCTTTGGCCCTGTGAAGCCCTCACTCCACAGAGAGGGGCAGGACTGGGTCAAAGAGGGTGTTCAAGAGAGAGGGTCTGCTCCTGCATAGGCCTAGGGGTACCTGGCACAACCTGTTGGTTTCTGTCAAAGACCTGCCAAATGCCCAGGCAGGTTCTTTTTACATCTTCAAGAAACACTTCTTGAGAAAGTTAAGACCGACATTTGGCTTCAAGAAGGGCGAGGTGGACAAGCCGCCCCAGGATGGACAGAAGAGAGGTTCTGCAGGTGACCCGAGACAGCAGAGCTCTTCCCAGCTGACACGGCTCTGTATGTCCTGCCAAAGAAGGGGCCAGGTTTGGGTGGGGTGTGGGAGTGGGTGTGGGAGTGGGTGTTAGCCTTTCATAACACAGGTCTAGTTCAGAGGCTTGAATGAAAAGTCCAATTCTTCAGAGGTTGCACTTTGTTCTTGCAGGCAGAACCTTGGGAATTCAGTTCTGTGTCTTGAGATAATGCTGCCATCAGTCAAAAGATTTGATTAGCACCTGTTTGGAATGCACCATTAATCTGTTTAGCTGCCAGGCTGTGTGTCCTTACCTGGCACTACTAGTGCTGGGAAGATTAAAATATCGGTAATTACAGGCTTCCTCACTGGAACCATCCTCACCCTCATCATCAGTCTTGATAGGTTTACAGAGCCCAAGACCCCTCTTCAGGTTTCCCCTTGTCTGTAAGTGCTCAGAGGTGGGCTGTTACTGAGACAAAGTCTGGGAGTCACCTCACTCCTGCTACCTCAGGCCCACGTCAGTTCCTCTTAGCTCCACACTAGACACAGGAGGCCCGTCTGCCGCCAGCTTGTCACCATGCAAGGCCCCGGCACCATCTCCCTTGCCCAGACCACAGTCTTATTCCTCACTGAGAATTTTATAACCTGCTTTCACCTCGGCTGCCAGAAGCACATTTTAAAACTACTTATTGACTCGGCATAAAATCTATAGGCCTTGCTGGGACCTGAAGCCCCCCTACGGCCTGACCCCTGCTTCCCTGCTTAGTTTCCTCCAAGGGGCTTTTAACCCTCCTTTGTGGCTTCTCTGAAGTGTGTCTGCAGCTGGAAAACCTTGGCCTGGTGGGCCTTGACCTCAGTTTGGAACAAGGGGAGCGTGAGCAGAGCCTATGTCTTCAGTTACCCTGGGAAATAAGCTCCTTGACCATCCTCCTCTGGCCTGGCTGAACCTGTGCTCCACACACCCCCAAGACATGCTGCCCCACGTGCGAGACTTCATGTCATCATCCATGATGGTTTGGGAAGGGGACAGGAACGAGCCGACCCCATTAAGCCACTCCTGCACCCAATTAACTTCCCACTACCTGTTGGCTGGGGAACAGCGGGACCTCCCTGTCCCCTAAAAGCTCTCACCCCTGCTCGTGTCCAGTGCACACCTGACACTCTGCTGTCACTCCCAGGGACCCTAATATCAAGCACAAGCAACATCACTGCTGTGCTAAGAGTAGAAACATGGCTTTTTTTTTTTTTAAGTGAAAACCATGTTATTGAAGGTTTAGCCGTAGGTTTAGCTATAAATCCCCAAAGATTCCCAACACCAAGAGGTACAACTGTCTTATAAGGTTTGAGTCTATAAAGCGATTTTTTGAAGGAAAAGGCACCCCCATTTCATGACAAAGAAAGCCCCTGCTCATGCGGGTGTTCGTAAGACCAGTGCTCCCGAGACCTGTGTCCACCAGTCCCCAGCCTGACATTCCTCTAGAGGTAGGGCGCTGATGACTCGGCATTTTGGTAATTGTGCACACACCCGCCGAGGTTTCTGGGCAGGGGAACTGGAAATGCTTTTAATAAAAAAAGGAGAAGAAATCAGTAACAGACGAGTGTCCCTGCAGCATGGCAAACTAGTTCAAGTTGTAGAATTCCCCTTGGCATTTCCTAAGAGCGTTGAGGCACAGCTTGGGGGAGCGAAGCAAGGAGGAAAATGCTACAGTGCAAAGAGGTGCAAGAAGAGACAGACCCTCAGTGTGTGCAAAATCGACCTCATGCGACATTCTGTGGGGGCGGAGTGGGGAATGGGATCAAAAACGGGGTGGGGGGGAAGGGAGGGAAATGCACGAGACTATGGTGGTGGCACAGGGGTGATTTGGTGATGGGAAACCCGCGGGGATTACAATCGAGATGGAAAAAAAAATGTGCAAAATGATGTAAAAATAAACTTTGTAATAAAAAAAAAAATCGACCTCATGGCACGAAAGCGCTGACGAGGTGGCCCATGTCCACTCTTGCTCACGTCACGCCCTCATGCTGGCCCTGGGGAGAGCGGGTGGCGGGGTGCAGGGTTTCTGCTCTAGACCCCCTGCTGGGGCCAAGTGGGGCCCTGTGCCGGCTGTCTCATTGAGGTCAGCCTGCAAGAGCTGCCTGTGCTACAGGGCAAGTTGGGGTTCCTGAGGGTGGATGTAAAGACACCGGCACAGATCAGGGGTGGGGTGAGAGTGGGGTGGACGAGGATTTTATACTGCTACAGGGGCTGGCGGAATTCCTCTCACTCTGCGCTGAGGCAGGAGCTCTGGGGCTCTGGCTTGACTGGTGACCCCCATGCCCCAGATAAAGACTCACAGATGATAAAATGCCCACTCTCCTTTTCAGTCTGGGGACTTAGGGCAATGCTGGTTCGGTGGCCTTCCATACTTTTTTTGAAGCATCAGTGAGGGACAAGGGGAAAGCCCACTTTGGCACGGCCACCACGCCAAGGCCATCTGTGTCCTTAGACTGGATGGGGAGCTTGATTACACAGGCTTAAGAAAGTACAAGCTAGGGTGATTAAAATTCATCTTTCTGGGTGAACATTCAACATCAGACAAATGCCACAAGCTCGTCGTCAAAGCTACAATGTGAACCCTGCAAATCAGCCCAAGCTAGGAGCCCAGATGAACGTGCTCACGTCACATGGGGCTTTAATGGTTCCCAAATGTGGACTACACCAGCACCAACCCGAAGGAATATTTCCACTTGCCACGCTTCACAAAGTGAAAGGATTATTTTTAGGGTCTCCCGTATATTCTGGGAGAAAACACCATCCTCCTCCATCTCAAAGCACATTACAGATGGGCAACTGGGTCTTGAAAAAGAAGTCTGACTCTTGTCTCTGCTTTTTGAACTCAGAAAGAAAGTCATGGGGAAGGCGAGATCACCCTTCGGAGAAGGAAGAGGGAGGAATCTGGAGAGAGACAGCGTTCATGGCAGTGACTGTCCTTTCTCTTGTGGGTCATCACAAGCTTCACTCCTAAATGAAAGTAGCTGCGAAGCTAGCTGGTTGCCCGACACTCTGGAGGTAACCCACAAATCTTCCTGCTCTTCTTATTTCAAACTACGGTCCAAATAGAAGGAAACTCCTGATAAACGGTGGTGCAGTATTTGGTGTGGGGACAATGAGCTTCAACCCCTGTGAGCACAGTCTCAACAGCGCAGCTGCTTTCAAAGTGCAAACCAGGGCCCCCCTGGCGGTGCAAGGGGTTAAGTCTCAGCACTGTCACACAACTGCTGGCCACCACAGCTCAAGTTCAATCCCCGGCCAGGGAGCTGACCCACATGGTGTGGCAGATCTCTCCTCGCCCACTGCTTCCCTCAGCAGTGTATTTCAGTCAGTCTGCCTGTTCTGCTCCTCACTCTGTCTCTGGTGAACCCCCTCATGCCCCCATACCTCTGGCCTGTACCCCAGTTCTTGTATCATAAATAAATAAAAGTAAATCGTAAAAAGCACAACACAACACAATGCTAAGCACTCACAGCCCTCTAGGGGGCACAAAGTGCCTATGTTCAGAGGCCAGCAAAGCCCAGGTAACAGAGCAGGACCTGGGAGAGCTGAGTCTCCTCCTCTTTCCTCTGCTCTTTATACCTGTGACAGGGACCAACATGTTAGATTTTTAGCGCCTGCTTCCTTGCCTTTGGTTCCCCCAAAATAATCCATGGCCGTCTCCCACAGGGTAAGCGAATGGTCAGGCTTTTTAGCCACTGGCCTCTGTGGCTATCACCTGAGGCTTTGATCTCGTTAATGTGAAAGGTGGTGGGTGTGGGGCACGTGTGCTGACTATGGACACCTGAGCGTGGTGTATGCACCTGGTGAGCGTGCACACCTGTGCGTGGGAGGGAGGGGCTGTAAGGGCGGCGCTACCCAGAGCCGGTCACGGCGGAAGGCCTGGAGAGGAAGCCCAGAGCAGAGCGTGCATAGAGTCATGAGAGGCCCCAGCTGCTGCCGCCCAGCTGGTTTGTTTCCCCTGCGTACGATTACAAAATCTGTGTGTTGGGGTGAGGGGGGCCAAGGGCTTCAAGGTTCTCTTTTAAGCCGCCAGGACCTCCTCTGGTGGTGGTGGGGTATAAATAAATGGACCGAGCTCTTTTTAACATTAAAGACTTTCTTAATTTCTAACATTTTATCTTTTTCCCTGGGTAAACTGCGGATAAGATAGACTACATGTTGATTAAATTTTCTGGATCATAACTACGGGGCCAGAGGCTTATTTTCCACAAAAATGCTACAACTGAGACTTCCTCTGCTGATGATGGAGGAGAATACAAAGTCAAAGTGGAAATACCACACAGAGGCCCCGGGGGTGTGACCAATGTCCAGGAAGGGTTGGCTACCCATAAAACACCAGACGAAGAGGCGGGAGGAGGGAGCTGGGAAGTTTTCTCTTGCTGGTCCTATCCTCTTCCACCTTGCAGAGGTGAACCGTGAGTGCAAGTGGACAGACCTTGCTCTCGCTTCCTGAGGGCTCACCTCTTTCCTGTTGGGTAAAACACCCACATGGAAAATGGGTGGGGGAAGATCAAGCAACCCCAGCCAGTGATGGGCTGGAAGTCTCGCACCTCCTGGCGGAGGGGGGCGGGCTGCATAACAGGCATGAGTCACCCTAATCTCTGTCTGCCACTGGGTTGCCACCAAGTTTCCCAGACATACAGGTGAGCTAGAGTGAATCTCCCTTTCCCTGAGACGCTACAAATAACTAAGTTGCTGGTTAAATAAAAAGGAAAATACAGCCCACCTTTGATCCTTTGGCTTGAAAGACTTGCCTCTCCACTGTCACGACAGCCTGCGTCCACCAAGACTCCCTGCAGTGAGGGACTTGAAGGCATAGGACAGGGCCACTTGTAGCCAGCAGGCGTTGGCCAGTGGCTGGTGAGGACACCAGACTCGCCTCTCACCTGGACCACAGCCCTACACGCATCAGGAACACATGAACTCCCACAAAGCAAGAGAAATTTCATTTCTTGGTGGAAAATCACCAAGTGAGGGGAGGTTTTGGTGAAATTTGAGAAAGTAGTTAATTTTGCACAGGCAAACATGGGAGCCAGATGGCTTTTTGGTGGAAAAATGCGATTTGGAAGAAAGCAGAATCAACAAAAAGCTTGGTTTCATGAAATAGCCTTTCTGAATGTTGAAAGTCCTAAATATGGGCCATGGAATGTAACTGGATGCCTGATGGCTGCGGAAATGAGGGGGCCCTCAGCAGCATTGCCCAAGCACTGTGATAAGGGAGACGGCTAAAGGGAGTGGGAACTGGGTAACGTTCTACTTTAAGGACGTATTTCCTTGAACAAATGATGTCTTGGTTTTCTCTGTGATCTAAGAGACCCACACCTGGAGGTGAAAACAGTACAAACAGTTCACTGATGGCTCAGACGGACCGTCGTATTCTACTCAAAGCTTGAGTCACTGGATAGGATCTACTTTACTTGACAAAAAAGAGAACCTGAAATGTCTATGTAATTAACAATGTTAAAGTCAACAAAGAGTTGTTCTGAAATTTTTACATCCGCCATCCTTTATATAAGAAGAGCCAGGGAGAATATGGTCACCTTGTAGTAGCATTACTGGAAGACATTATTAGGCAGAGACTGTGTAGGGCAGGTGGGCAGGTATAAACTAGGGCATTCTGTTCCTACTTCCTGTTTTTCCCTGGCTACACACTGCAGTCCACCATTTTCTAGACACATGCTGATGAAGAACTTGCACTACCAGTCACTCACCATTTTTCCATGTACTCACCATTTCTCCATCTCCGGGAGCTAAATTCCCTCCAGAACCCATAAATGCCTGTGCATGCCTAGGTCAGGGGAGTGGCTGCTGGGAAAGACTAGTTGTCATGGGGGACAGTGACAGACACCACAGTCCTCTTGCAAACCCCAGTGGATCAACGGAGACCCGAGATGCCCATGCATGTTTACCTGGGGAGCCTGCCAGAGAGTCCCCTCTGCTGAAGGCGAAGGTGCGAGACACAGAGACGGGCACTAAAGAGTGAAGGGCCAAGGATTTGTGAGTTGCAAAGAAAAAGATAAACAGAAGGAAAGAGACAAAGAGCAAAGTGGGTCAGACAACCTGTTTCCAGATCTTCATATCACATTTCTCTGCAAAAGAGAATCTTGTCTCTGAAAGCACAGAAATTGCATTCTCTTAAAAGCCATGCACCAGAGAGAGGGTCATCTATGTAGACAATGCTGGAGGTCTTCTGTGCATAATTTTAGAGGAAATCAGAGCTGCCAATGCAAGGCGCAGGCAGTGTCCTGGGGGGAGCCTGGCGCTGCCGCCCTTCCACGCTCCCAGCTGCTGTGGTCACCTGCAGGAGGCGCCCACAGGCTCTTGCTGGGGAAGTCCCTGAGGAAGGTGCATCCTGCCTGGGCCTTCTAGGAGCTCTCTCTCGGAGGACGCAATGCTGGGGAGGAGCCTGCATTGCTACAGGCTTGGAAGACAGGCTGGGCACTGGCAGCGATCCCAGTGCAAGTCAATGTGATGAACTAACTCAAGTCACTCTCAGCAGCACAGCACTACAGAACACCTCTCTTCCTCGGCTCCTTCATGCTGTCCTTCTGTTACAGGGTGGTCCCCAGGAGAAGGGGAGGTCCCAGGTTCCCTGCTCCACCCAAAGGAGGGTGGAGCTGAGCCTTGTGGCTCAGTGGCAAGCTCTCCCTAGACCTATAGGTGAGGTTTTGGCAGTGGAAGGTGCCTGGAGGCCAGGCTCTGGTTAGTAGCACCCTCAGGACATCCATGGGCTGTGGTGGCTTTACAGTGACTTGAGGCCTTTGCAGTGATTTTACACGGGTGAGCACTTAGGGGAACAATGGGAACTGGATAATGAGACTTCCTTCTCCTTCTGAAGATTGCAAAAGATGTTCAGAAATATAGAGAGGGAAAGGCTTGAAGGTGTCCTTCTAGTTAACCAGTTTTGAAGGAGGGGCCAGTGTTGAAAGATTTCTCCTATTTCACTGATAAAACGAGAGGATTTGCTGGCAAGAACTATAGACAGGAGAAAGCAAAGGAGAAAATCAGTTAATGTCACCCTACTACTTAATCTGGACTAGGTGGGCTGGGAGCTTTATGTAGTTTTTGTCCGCAGAGTTCCCACAGCTTTTTGTCTTATGGACCACTGAGGACATGACCCGCGCTTCTAGATAGCTTTTAGAATTTCAGGAGTCACTCCACCTTGAGTAGCCCTAAAGCGATGGCTACAGAAGGTCTCCTTTGAGAACCAGGGCTTACCTGCTTCAGTCACCCAGCCCTCGCCCACCCTGGGATCTTATGCGGAGAACTGCCCCTCACCAGCCTTGGTGTTTGCTGGCTTATGTGAGTACAATCACACACCGGGGCTTTTCAGCTCAGGGTCCATCGCCCCTTGCATGTGGGCTGTGCCTCAGCTACATTCAGCCCTCTGCTGCGCCAGGCTGTTAAATTACACTGCAAGTTGCCCCAGTTTCCCCATGCAGAGACTGTCTTCAAGGATAGACCTGAAAGCTGTGTTTCATTGTGCTGGGTGGGTTAGTCAGGATACAGAATGCATCTAGGGATGTCATCAACTTCTCGGTGATTTTGTGCAAGTTATTTCTTTAGTTTCCCTGTGTTGAAACCTTTCATGTGCTACCCGGGATGACGACAGCAAGCGCTGGGACCCTCTGATGAACCCCAGTATAAAGCACTATATAAAATATGATTTAGGATGAGCTAAAACACCATATTTGGCATTCAGATGGCCTCTGTAAAAACTAACAGGTGAAAGCAGTGTGAAAACCAGACCATTGACTCAAACAGAAAGCTAGAGAAATAATACTTTCTAGGTCACACTTTCATCACAAAATATTGCATGCTCTCTAAACACGAGTGTGTGCAGGAGACAATGAGGAAGCTGGAGCGCGGGAGGGGCAGTGCCAAGCAGCCAGCAGCCCTGTGGCAGCCCACCAGCAGCATGCAAGGCCAGCTGGCATCACCTCTCCACCAGCTGAGATGTGGTCAGCAAGGAGAGAGAAGCAGGTAGGCAACATATTGCACCAGCCGGCGACTTAATCCCTAAGAGCTTGCAATCAAATCCCACCAACCCCACAGACACGAGAATAGCCTGTTTAGATTTTCAAGACCACTGGTGACTTATTACAGTAGAGAAGTAAGGGCTGAACTTCCACAAAGCACACAAATCCCCTGCCTGCTTTCCCCGGCAGGGGACATTTTATCAAGCCCCCCAGCCCCCAACCCCCATTCATCACTTACACATGAACAGAGAGGCAGCAGAATGCATTCCAGACACACTGAAACTAAGCCCCTGGGTCTGTGGGTAGCTGGCAAGAAAGAGCGTTCCTGGCAGAGTTACAAAGAGGCTGCCAGCACGTGTTAGCCCCAGCCCACAAAGCCCGTCTGGCTCCCCTGAGTGGACCGAGGCAGGGCGCGGTGGGGAGGTGCGGACGTGCGGACGGGGCTGAGAAATACATACGAAAGACAGAGGATCCAGTCAGGCTTCCGACCTTGCGCACGTCGGTATCTGAGGACAGAAGGAGGCAGTGTGCTTCAGAAGCGATTCAGAGAACGAGCCTGCTTCCCTCCTTCCACACACCCCTGCTCTGATCCTGAGAACAACACACAATCAAGTGGAAGTGTGGAAAGGGAAATAAACTTGTCTTTTCATGCTGAAAAATCCACCCCTAAGGCTTGGTGATGTTCGTCGACCCGCACTTCCACAAACATTGTGCCCACGGAATGATCCATAGACCCATTTGACAGAAAAGGAAACAAAAGTTTAAACGGCTGGTGGAGGGTCTACATCAACAGCCAAGACCTGGCCTCAGATGCTTCTTCCTCCAAAGTCCCCCGAGTGCAGTCAGCTTGGGAAGCGGAATACCTTGGGAAGCGGAATACCTGAGCAGGCAGCCGCCATGATGGCTGGGACGCCGTAGTAGGTGAAGGCTCCATTCTCAAAGCGAAGGCCTTCCTTGCCCACCTCCACCTCCACTCTACCCTGGAGAGAGAAGGGGGGACTGAGGGTGTGCAGAGCGCCTCCCGTCCTGCTCTGGGACTCAGCCCCCAGCGCGTTCCCTGGGTCTTTACCACAGGGTGAGGGTCTGGGGGCGGGGGTGGCCTATTCTGCCCAGACTTGTGTTTCAGAGATAGCACCCCCAATGTCAGCTTCAAGGGCCCTCGTAGCTGATTAATTGCTGAGTCCATGAAGCAGCCTTCAGTCACCAATAACCAAGCTCACTCGCACATTTCATGACCCTCCACACCTGGGGGCCAGCTACCAGCCTGCCCAGGGCCCTTAACTGCCCCTCTGGTTTAGCCAGAGGTTGGACTTAATATATCTGGCTGAGTTAAGGCCTGACTGTGCAGTTTGTTTAATTCACTACAGCGATAGCGACAGCCAGGCCCTGTGTTCAGTGGGCCTTATGCCTGGGGCACACACTGCTCTTGCTGGGGCCATGTTAGGGTGAAGGCTAAATAACCTGGTCAAGGTCAGTTAGAAATGGGCAATATTGACATTTTAAAGCCAGGTATGATTCCTGAACATCCACTCACCATTATATTTTCTTTCTTCCCAGTTTTATTTGAAAACTGCTACTTATGTTTACTATGCTGTATGCACAATGTAACAGGCCCTTCTCTACCTCTAACAGTGAAAAATGTGATTGTATTTTTGGAGAACAGAGGTCATTTTACCCAGATTATTTGGGAGAGCAGAGGTCACTAGTGTCAAGGGAGACCGGTGGTACTAACACAGGAAGGCTACCTCCTAGGTCATGTGAGCTTAATTAACATTTTAAGATGTTCACTGTGTGTAGGTTCCTACGACTGTGTTGAGAAGGGACAGGGAAGAGTGACCGAGCTAATGGGTAAGGGTGGGGGTGGGGGTGGAGGT